AATGAATAACAAGTGAAATATCCACTAAAGCAAAGCTTAAGTATATAACACCAACAGTGGACAGATTGACAAAAGTCGCACATTTCTTACTTGTATCGATGACCATGTCGATGGAGAAGTTGGCTGAGATTTATACCCGTGAGATCATTCGACTCCACGGAGTGCCCGTTCATATTGTGTCAGATACAGATCCCAGATTCACCAGCAGGTTCTAGGAGAGTTTACACGAGGCTATGGGCACGCAATTACAGTTCAGATCAGCTTACCATCCAGAGAAAGACGGTCAGTCAGAAAAGACTATTCAGACGCTCGAGGATATGCTCCGAGCGTTGGTTCTAGACAGAGGTGCTAAGTGGGAGTCGATTTTGTCGATAGTTGAGTTGGCCTATAACAACAGTTATCAGGTGTCGATCCAGATGGCTCCTTTCGAAGCACTTCACGGGTTTAAGTGCCGCTCGCCCCTTTATTTGGATGATGTTGGCGAACGTCAAGTACTCGGTCCGAAGATGATCAAGGACACAGTTGAGCAAGTTGAGTTGATCAGACAGAGACTTAAGACAACGCAGAGTCGACAGAAGTCATTAGACGACAAGCATAGACGAGATATCCAATTCGAGGTCGGAGAACGAGCCTTTCTGAGAGTTCGTCCATTCTGAGGGATCGTTCGATTCGGGAAGAAAGGGAAGTTACATCCCCGTTTCATCGGCCCGTTCTAAGTTCTCGAGCGAGTGGGTGAAGTAGTCTATCGTCTAGCTCTGCCTCCCGAGTTGTCCAATGTTCATAATGTCTTTCTGTATCCATGTTGCGTAAATACATGCGCCATCCAGATCATGTTCTTTAGCATACTGATATTCAGCTTCAGCCAGACTTATCGTACGAGGAACATCCGGTAGCAGTTTTGGACCATCAGGTTCGATGACTCTAGAGACGAGATATTCCCCTCGTACGTATCAGATGGAATCACCACGGAGAATCCGATGCCACTTAGGAGCGCGAAGCAGACATTAGAGCTTGTTTTCCCGACTTCGAATTTTGATGTATATACTTTTCTCGTGTTTCGTATATATGTCCAGTTTTGTATTTCCGAGGACAGAAATATTTTAAGGATGGTAGATTGTAATAACCAAGTTTATTATTAATAAAAGTGATGTATTTCCTTTTGTTAATAATCTTTATTTCGGCTTCCAGTCAATAAGTTCGACTTTAAGTCGAAAGCCTATTCGGTTTATTTAACCGAGTTCATCTCGATAATTAGTTCCCGAAACGTTTATTTTTATAAACGAATATTATTAGTCGGGATTAATTATTGGAAATCAAGATTATTCGAATTAATTTTTGAAGTTAAGTTCCAACCGAGAATGAGTAAATTCGGTTTAAGTTCTCATACGTACTCACCATCCCAATACAGCGACACGTTCACATTAGGTACACCATCCATCATCTACTTATGCCTAAGTAATTACCATTAACCCTTACTTAATTAACTTAATCCATGCTTAGCCTATTAATCCATGTTTAGCCTGTTAATAGCCTTATCAATCCATGTTTATGGTTAATAAAGTGCCGCTTAAGTAAGTACCACGTTCAAGCCTTATTGATCCAAGTTTTATGTCCAAGCTTTTAGCCGTGAGGAGTTCTTCAAATTATTAAATATTGCAACTTGCACAAGCCTTGTCACCTATGTGCTTAGGCTACATGGCATGCTCTAGTAAGATTCTAGTGAGGACTAAGCATTTGGATGCCACATTAGGCAAGGAAAATGCCACCTTAGGCCACGACTCAAGCAAGTGGCACTACAAGAATTAAGCTTCATTTTCCATTCCTTTAACCATCATTTATCCATCATTTTACCTATTTAAATGACCTAAGGCCGTGAGTATTTTTCTCATGTAAAACCAAGAGAAAGTTGCAATATTGAGATAAAATAGAGAGCATTAGCCGAGAGTTTAGTCATACCAATATTGAGACAAAATAGAGAGCATTAGCCGAGAGTTTAGTCATAGAGGGAAGGAGATAATCATATCCAAGGGAAGCACATGCATAGCACATCGAGCAAACACACGCAAGTCTTTACAATTTCACCTAGCGTTTGGAAGGGTACATTCGTATTAGCCTTCCTACGTTACTTTAAGTTCATGTTAGAAAGATCATGTAGTAATCATGTCGTTCGGTCCATGTTTTGTGCTAAAATGCCTCGGAGGTGCTATATAAGCCCTCTCCGAGCTATTTCAAAATCTAGCCAGTAAATCCCGAGCAACTCATGTATATTTAGTCATTTTATAACCAGCCATATAAGGTTTGGCAGAGAAAGTCGCCGGACGGCCGGTGAAAGGCCGACCGTAGTGCCTACCCGCACATAACGTGCGCACGGCACGGCTGGCAGTAGCCTGCGGGCACGTAGGCAGCACACTGTAACGCCCCGCGCCACCTGACTCGCGCAGAATAAGGCCATCTCGCGGGCACGCCGACACAGAGCATGCACGCACGCACCCAGCAAGCGCACGCACGGGGCTGTCATACCTTTTGAAGACTTAGGTTGCACCACACCTAAGTATTGCACATAGATGCCTTAGTAGAGGCTTACTTTTGTCTAGGAGCTTCTAGAGAGCCCTAAAATTGTATAGATACATGTAGTAGGAACTTGATGAACCTAGAGCCTTGTAGAGTTGTGTAGAAGGTTCTAGGATTTGTGTGTATGAAGTAAGATTTTTTGAGAAGGGTCTAGAACATTCAAGACCCTTGTAGGACCTAGAAGGTTCCTTAGAGGAGATGGTTCCTATAAATAGGAGAGGCCCCCTCATTTGCAACTCATCCAAGCAACAACCAAACTCTCTTCTACAAAGTTTGTGTGAATAATAGTACAAGCCTTCCTTACAATCTCTCTTACATATCTTTGCCATATTCTCTAGCCAAGTACTAGCACACACCGAGCACGATACGAGCATGAGTGAGGCTGACTTAGCTAGCTGCGAAGGGCGCACAAGAGGCTAAGGCCGCACGCTACCAAGGTTCGGAGAAACAAGGGTGTGACAAGTGGTATCAGAGCCACGCTCGGTACCGTGTAAAGTATGGCTGGAAATAAAGAGCAGAACGCATCCGGGTTGGGGGTGATCGAGGAGCAACCCCGAGGGCGAGAGCAGACCATCACGACCAAGGACAAGAAGAGGCGAGACCAAATTCGAGTTCGCGCCGAGGTCTCGACGTTAGAGACAACTGTCGGAGAGATGGGCAAGAGGCTCGAAAGGGTCGAGTACACCTTCAAGACATTCGAGACGTTCGTCTTGGAGGAGTTCGAGTCCGTCAAACACACCATCAACGATGGCCTCGATGCACGTAGCACCATAGAAAATCGCTTGGATTATTTGGAGGATCTTATGAAGGCGATCCACGAGCGCATCGAGGGGATGCACGAGGACATCACCGTCTGCAAGAAAGCCATTGCTAGTGGGGAAACTAGCAGCATCACGCCAGCACCAAGGGTGAAGTGTCCAGAGCCAATACGCTTCAATGGTGTGAGGGACACCAAAGAAGTTGAAAACTTCTTGTGGAGAATGCAACAATATTTCGAGGGCATCAACCTTACCGACGAGGCAACTAAGGTAAAGACTGCTTTCCTTTACCTTTTTGATACTGCTATGTTATGGTGGCGCCGGAAGCACAGCGACATTGAACGTGGCACATGCCGGATAGACACTTGGGATGACTTTGTCAAGGAGCTCAAGCGACAATTCTATCAAGAGAACGTAGTGTATGAGGCCCGACGTAAGTTAAGGGAACTGAAGCAAAAGGGCTCTATAAGAGACTATGTCAAAGACTTTACTACCCTCTTGCTTCAGATCCCTAACATGGCTGAGGATGATTCGCTATTCTTTTTCGTGGACGGGCTTCAACACTGGGCAAAGCAAGAGCTACAACACTGGGGCGTCAAAACCGTCGACGACGCTGTTGCCGCCGCAGAGTCCCTCATCGAGTTTCGCCCATCACCATCTTCCGATGCCACCAAGAAGGACAAGAAGTACCCCGCTAAAGGTGGGGGAGACCAAAAGGATAAAAAGGTCTGAGACTCCCGAGACTACCGACGTGCAACTGACAAGGAGGATCGCAACGCGTGACGTCAGAACTATGAGGAGAAGAAGCAAGCGTTCGTCCCGAAAGGGGGCTGCTTTGTGTACAAGGGTCTGCATGCCATGAAGGATTGCCGAAGCTAGGTTCCCTATCCGCAATCGTGGAACAACACGAGTCTGAGAAGAAGGAAGAAGAACCAACAGTGATGGGGTCACTGCAGGTCCTAAACGCCCTAAAAGCCAGACCCGAGTGCACCACGAATAGCAAGGGGCTTATGTACGTGGAGGCACAAGTTAACGGGAAGTCGACGAAGGCCCTGGTGGACACATGAGCCAGTCATAATTTCATCACCAAGGAGGAGGCCACAAGGTTGGGTCTATCTTGGACCGAAAAAGCCGGATGGTTAAAGACGGTCAATGCTAAAGAGAGCCGCGAGCAATGTGGAGCTACACTTAGGGACATGGCAGGGACGCGTGAATTTTTCAGTCGCACCTATGGACGACTTCAAAGTGGTACTCGGCATGGACTTCCTGCGACAGGTAACTATGCTTCCTATGCCTTCTTTTAGTACCGTTTGCATCTTAGAAAAGGGTTCCCCATGCATGGTGCCAACAATAGAAGGAGACCACGGGAGTCCTAGCAAACAACTCTCTGCAATGCAACTTGCCAAGGGGCAAAACGAGGTGAACCCACATACATAGTTGTGCTAAAGGAAGACAATTCTGAGGAAAATTCCCCAAAGGTACCCGACATCATCCGAGGAGTCCTTGAGGAGAACAAGGACGTTATGCCAGGAGAGCTGCCGAGCAAGCTACCACCCAAGCAAGGGGTGGATGACAAAATTGAACTAGAACCAGACACCAAGCCGCCTGCCATGGCCCCATACCGTATGTCACCACCCGAGCTTGAGGAATTAAGGAAGCAACTTAAGGAGCTCGTGGAGATAGGGAAGATCCGACCGAGCAAGGCACCATATGGCGCACCTGTACGTTTACAAAAGTAACATGATGGGACACTACGCATGTGCGTAGACTATTGGGCGCTTAACAAGGTAACAATTAAGAATCGCTATCCCATCCCTTTGATTGCTGATTTATTCGATCGAATTGGAGGAGCCCGAGTGTACACCAAGATGGATTTACAAAAGGGTTACTACCAAGTCCGCTTCGCCGAAGGAGATGAACCCAAGACCACGTGCATCACGAGGTATGGGTCATACAAATGGTTAGTGATGCCCTTTGGGCTCACTAACGCCCCGGCTACATTTTGCACGCTCATGAATGAGATCTTTCATCCATACTTGGATCGGTTCGTAGTGGTTTACTTGGACGACATCGTCATTTATAACAACACGCTTGAGGAGCATGCCGATCACCTACGCACCGTATTGAAGGTACTTCGGGACAATGAGCTTTATGTGAAGGAGTCCAAGTGCATTTTTGCTCAAGAAGAAGTAAACTTCTTGGGACATATCTTTGGCCATAGACGAATCAGAATGTCCGGGGCAAAGGTGAAGGCGATCATGGAGTGGGAAGCGCCAACAAAGGTAACTGAATTACGATCCTTCTTAGGGCTGGTCAACTATTATCACCGATTCATACAGGGCTATTCGCCAAGGGCAGCACCTCTCACTGACCTGCTTAAGAAGGGTAAGCCGTGGGTACGGTCCGACGAGTGCCAACGAGCCTTTGACGACCTCAAGGTCGCCGTGAGCCAGGAGCCTGTCTTAGCATTAAATGACTTCACCAAACCCTTCGAGGTTCACACAGATGCCTCTGACTTAACTATTGGGGGAGTATTGATGTAAGAGCGTCACCCTATAGCGTTCGAGAGCCGGAAGCTGAATGATACCGAGCGACGCTACACAGTACAATAAAGGAGATGACAACCATCATCCACTGCTTGAGGGTATGGCGTCACTATTTGCTAGAGGCACATTTAAGCATCAAGACGGACAATGTGGCCACTAGCTATTTTCAAACCCAAAAGAAGCTTTCCCCAAAGCAATCTCGATGGCAAGATTTTCTAGCGGAGTTCGACTACTCGTTGGAGTACAAGCCGGGCAAAGCCAACGTAGTGGCGGATGCATTAAGCCGAAAGGCTAAACTTGCCGCCATCAGCAATGCTGACGGGGATGTGCTCTCCCGTCTATGAGAAGGGCTCAAACAAGAACCCGTAACCAAGGCTCTAATGGGCCTTGCTAAAGAAGGGAAAACCCAACGCTTTTGGGTAGAGGACGGTCTTCTCTACACGAAAGGGCGACGTTTGTACATGCCAAAGTGGGACGGCATAAGGCGAGACCTCTTGAAGGAATGCCATGACACCAAGTGGGCAGGTCACCCGGGCCAAAGGAGGACAGTGGCGTTACTCGAGACCAACTACTTTTGGCCCCAGCTCCAAGACGATGTGGAAACATATGTCAGAACTTGTCTTGTTTGCCAACAAGATAAGATCGATAACAAGCACCTGGCGGGACTTCTAGAGCCACTACCGATATGTGCAGGACCATGGGACTCTATCACATTGGACTTTATTAGCGCGTTGCCACAATCTGAGGGATACGGATCGATCATGGTCGTCGTAGACTGATTTTCCAAGTACGAAACATTCATTCCGTGCACCAAAGATTGTACCGCCGAAGAGGCCGCCCGTGGATTTTTCAAGAACGTGGTCAAGCATTGGAGGCTACTCAGGAGCATCATCAGTGATCGGGACCAGAGGTTCACAGGGCGACTTTGGACCGAACTTTTCAAACTCTTGGGGACCGAGCTCAATTTCTCAACAAGTTTTCACCCCCAAACTGACGGGTAAACTGAGAGGGTCAATGCACTTCTCGAATGCTATTTAAGGCACTTCGCAAGTGCAAATCAACAGGACTGGGCCAAGTTACTCGATGTGGCCCAATTTTCATATAATTTGTAGAAGAGTGAATCGACTGGGCGAAGCCCATTTGAAGTGGTCACGGGGTGACAATCGTTAACACCGCACACAATATCCCTACCTACCAAGGAAGGGAAGAGCCCCGGTGCCGAAAAGATGATCAAGACTTGGGAGGAACAAGCCGACTTAGCACGATCATACCTGGAAAGGGCCTGCAGAAGAATGAAGAAGTGGGCAGACAAAAAGAGAAGGCCAAGCGAGTTCTCCCAAGGAGACTTAGTCCTTGTGAAGCTGTTGCCCCAACAGTTCAAAACCTTTCGAAGCTTGCACAAGGGTCTGATACGAAAGTACGAGGGGTCGTACCCGGTAATCAAGAAAATTGGCAACGTAGCATATCGGTTCGACTTACCTCAATCACTTAAAATCCATCCCGTATTCAACGTAAGTATGGTGCAGCCTTATAAAGGGGACGTGGAAGACCCAAGCCGAGGGTTATCATCAAGGACATCGCCGATCACCACCAAGTCATTCGACAAGGAAGTGGAAGCGGTGCTCACATCTGACATAGTCAGGCGACGAGGGGTACCACCGAAAATACGATACTAAATCAAGTGGAAGGGCCTCCCCGATTCAGAAACCTCTTGGGAGTTCGAGGAAGACATATGGCAATTCAAGGATACCATAGAGTGGCACAAGGCGACGAGGACGCCGCCACAACAGGTGGGGGAGAATGTAATGCCTCACGCCACCTGACTCACGCAGACTAAGACCATCCCACGCGCACACCGGCACAGAGCATGCACACACGCACGGAGAACACGCACGCACCCAACAAACGCGCGCACGGGACTGTCATACCTTTTGAAGACTTAGGCTGCACCACACCTAAGTATTTTACATAGATGCCTTAGTAGAGGCTTACTTTTATCTAGGAGCTTCTAGAGAGCCCTAGAATTGTATAGATACATGCAGTAGAAACTTGATGAACCTAGAGCCTTGTAGAGTTGTGTAGAAGGTTCTAGGACTTTTGTGTATGAAGTAGGATTTTGTGGGAAGGGTCTAGAAAACTTAAGACCCTTGTAGGACCTAGAAGGTTCCATAGAGTAGGTGGTGCCTATAAATAGGAGAGGCCCCCTCATTTGCAACTCATCCAAGCAACAACCGAGCTCTCTTGTACAAAGTTTGTGTGAATAATAGTACAAGCCTTCCTTACAATATCTCTTACATATCTTTGCCATATTCTCTAGCCAAGTACTAGCACACACCGAGCACGATCTGAGCACGAGTGAGGCTGACTTAGCTAGCTGCGAAGGGCGCACAAGAGCCTAAGGCCGCAC